TTCTTTGTTAGTTAGTCCTGTGGTCATAAGTTACGGACAAAATTGAACAGTATTCTAAAAACCCCACTCTTAGGACAAATTCAGGGGAAGGAAGCAAAACTGGATAGAAATAGGTAAATTTAAAATATATGCAAAATAATGCAGGGTGCAAGATAAATTCAATTAGTAATAAGCAGAAGAAAATGTGAATTTATTAAACAGTCTAAAATCATGATAATTCATAAAAGCATTTTTTATTATATGGGTCACTAGAAAAAAAACATGTCCATTAAAAGCCCACACATTTTATGCAAGAATGGAGAAAATAATGTTATATGGATATATGGATAGATATGGATCTGCGAATATAATGCAAAAGTGAATGATCAGTAAAATTGCTAAAAAAAATAAAACAAGAATTGTATTAGAGGTTTTTTTTAATTTTTAAGCATGGCCCTAAGAAAGCGGATGAGCTTTTTCCTGAAGTGCAAATACGGACTAAATTCTAGTACAAAAAGCTCTCTCGCCTCTCATATTCGTCAGCAGTAACCCTCATTACGGCATCACCAGGATAAAATGCGATTTTCTATGTATGTGCATTCATCCTATTGAGAGAAAAGGTTCCGGGACCAAAGCCCAGGTATAAGGAAATAATGAAAGGCCAAAGTATTGACGGCAGCTATTGTGAATGACTTTATTACCAGCAAGGTGAATATATAGCAGAAGACAGTGTAACAAAAAAATAAGATTGTAAAACTTAACAGAGATCACAATTCCACATCCTTTTACGCTTAAAAATGGAGATAACATGGCCTTTCTTAGTGAAACTATGTGAAGAAGAATCGTCCCACATGGGCCGATGGCAAAATATTGAATCTGGACTACCAGATCTACTGTTAGTCTCAAAAGTATACTTATAAACGAAAAATAAGTAACGTAGTCAATTGCTATAGCAAATACAACTTTGCCTTATCAACAATCCCACCACAGAATGCGATATGGGAAAATGTCAGGCCTTCTTTGAAATTCACATCTGCCCTGTGATCCAATGACATTCGTGGCAATATGGCCGAGTGGTCAACGTGTCAAGCTCACATACTGCACTGTCACGGTTCGACTCCCGCTGGGGGTATTAATAAGACCTATGTGAGGTCGAAACTGTAGTCCACCCTGGATGAGAGCAACTCTTGGAAAAGTAAGGCCATGTGAACTTCAGTGGAAACGTCAGCTCCATTTATATCATTGTGGTAAAATTCTACTAACAGTCCTTCCTCACCTTAAACGAAATAGGGTGAATAAATCTCATATTACTGATTTACTGGTAATCTCGAAACTCTACTTAATTATGAAATGCGATGGAAATGCAAGGCCTACTGATAGCATTGTTGAAAAATTTCAACTATCACCTTAAACGCAATAGGGTGAATACACTTCATATATAGTAGAAAAAATATCCCCTCTAAAGACTGGAATTCTGTAATTAAATAATAACTAAGCCCTTATTCAAATAGGTGTGTACAAATAGATTGTAAGCGAAAATTCTCAACCTAGAATAGTTAACATATCAAACAAACGCACAAAAAATTGGAAGGAAAAATTATTTTGAACATCCGTTTTTGCTAGCGCCAGTTTTAGAAAAATAACAATAAATAATAATCAGCAAAATAGTCAAATGCCTACTAAGTTAAAAGCCCACCATTCCGTCTAATTGTCCACTTCATCATTCGTCATCCGACCTATTCACTTCAAGTCTACTTACTAACCTTTACACCAAATATATGCATTTCAAATGGCTAGTTATCAAGAGAACTTTAAATAAACTGCACAAAATCAACTAAGCACTGCGCGTGTCTAGGTAATTAGTTCAAATTAAATCTTCATCGAACTAACCAATACGCTAGAAGCATATCTGCCTATTTACCTGCCTGTATTACAGACTCACACCCAAAATTCAATTAATTTGGATGGCAGCTCGCCAAATCAGTCCATATATGTGAAAGTCGATACAATTTTGTGCAGTAACTGTAACTCATCATAGGGAATAAAAGTTGCAATAGGGCTTAATATGCAGTATTTGGAGACACCAATGCAACAACCTAAGCAGAAGCGTATGTCCGGTCGATGGGCCAATAACATGGATTCCTATGAATACTAGCAAGTGAATCACATTTTAAGTAATTTTAGCGATTGATTTTAACTTTTATCTGGGGCTTTTATTCGCTGAATTAACAAATAACTATAAAGGAAGAATACACAAATATCAAAATTATAAATGGGTATTACAAGGACAGAGAAGTAGAATACAAAATGACCTGAAGAATACGATTAGTTGGGATGAATGAACTTGAGTCAGGAAAACTGTTAAATTATCTAGTTAACGAATGCACTAAATAGAGCATAACATAAATATATTATGAAAAGAAAAAAAGGTACTACTCAAACCTCCAATCTAATGAGTGGCAAATATCTAACCAAGCACATATTAATAGCAAAAAATAAACATAAATCAAATCTTGTTTTCGCAACCTTGTCATATTGGTAGGAAGACTTAGAGGAACGCACCTAGTCCGGAGTCCATTCTATGCATCATTATTTCCAAATACTGACCGTGGACGTGGCACATTCCCAGGCGTTTCGTCGGCATCGTCAGTGAGTTTTACCATTCGTAGCACCATATTACAACTTGTCAAAGAGACAAATGACGCCGATCCTTTGACCAAACGTGTGCTAAACAGTTATGGTATCTCCCCTTCTGCCCTGGGCTATTCACATTTCCTATATCCTCCTATCACAATTTTTACTTGCTTAATTAGATGTGGTATGGTGTGCCCTTTTGAGCGGCTTTCATGAGCACCCTCCGCACTCCACACTGGCCTTCTCTCCCCCTTTCATCCTTGTGCTGTGAATGTTGATCAGAGTCTGCCATATTGTTGCGCAGTCCTCCTTCCATAGGTCTCTCTCTTGCCTCGTAAGATCCATCTGCCGTCTCCCTGGTTCACATATTTCACTCGAGCCCTGCCACCCAACTTGTGCCACTCGAGACGTCATTCGCCCTCCCCTGCGCCTGGGTGACTAATTCGAGACTAAAGCTTTTGAGTAAGTCTCATGGTCACGCCTTTGCTACATGGACCACGTCTATGGTTAAACAGGACTACTTTCAGTCAACTAGCTCTAGTCTCCGCCGCGTCTATCCTGTTTCTATCCCTAATGCCAAGTCTTTGACTTGCTATGCTCTAGTCTCTCGTGTGCCAACTCGCAAACGTTGTGGTTCAACATTGAACTTAATCATAGTAACCAGTACACAAAAGACTAAGGCATAGCAAGTCATAGACTTGGTATTAAGGATAGAAGCAGAATATATGTGGCGAGGACAGAAGCTAGTTGGCTGACGGTAGGTCTGTTGCACCAGAGACGTGTTCAATGTAGCAAAGGCTTACTCAGATTCACTCAGAGGCTTTAGCCTCGAATTAGTCACTCAGACGCAGGAGAGGGCGAATAACGCCTCGAGTAGCACATATGGGGTGGCATGGGTCGAGTAAAATAGCGGACGGATCTTACGGGGAAAGAGGGAGACTGTGATAAGACCTACGAAAGGAGGGCTGAGACTCTTATCGACATTCCCAGCACAAGAGTGAAGGAGGGTGAGAGCGCCATCATGGAGTATGAAGGGTTCTCCTAAAAGCCGCCCAAAAGGGCACACCACACTACATTTAAATAAGCAAGG